GTCAAAAAAGGAGAAGGGACTTTGTTTCGTTGTGACAAAAAGTACACTATGGGGCATAGGTGTCGCAATAAGGAATTACAAGTATTGCTGGTGGAGGATGAGTCAGATAAGGAGGAGGACAAAAAATAACTAGAAAAGGCAACTGATTGTAACGAATTGGAAAGAGTGGAATTATCAATGAATTCAGTCGTTAGGTTGACATCACCTAAGACTATGAGGTGAGAAGGACGGTAAAAGGACAGGACGTGGTGGTTTTAATTGATTCGGGGGCTAATCACAATTTCATGTCGTGGGAACTGATTACAAACCTTAAGTTGCCAATAACGGAGACTTGTGGATACAAAGTACAGGTGGGAACAGGTAAGTCTGTCAACGGAAGAGGAAAATGCAGAGGAGTGGTACTACACTTGTAGTCCTTAGTGGTGATAGAGGATTATTTACCTATTGAGTTGGGTAGCTCATACATCATTCTGGAAATACAATGGCTTAGTACCTTGGGTACAGTCCGAATCAACTGGAAGACATTGGTGATGAAGATACCGATGGGAAAGAACACGGTCATTTTAAAGGGAGAGGACGGGTTAACCAGATCATCGGTGTCCTTAAAATCAATGATGAGAACACTAGCAATAAGGGGAAGGCATGATTGTGGAGCTGTGTCCGGTGCAAGTTGATGGATAGCATAATCAGCATGGTATTCCCTAACTGATACGAGAAATTATTATGCAATTTAAGAAAGTGTTTGAGGCACCAGTTAGATTACCTCCCCGGCGAGAGCAAGAACATGCTATCACTATGAAAGCAGGTAGTGAGCCCGTTAATGTAAGGCCTTACAGGTATCCCCAATCTCATAAGGCTGAAATTGAGAAGTTGGTCATGGAGATGTTAGAGGCTAGTATCATACAGCCAAGTGTGAGCCCTTTTTCCAGCCCCGTTTTGCTGGTGAAAAAGAAAGATGGAGGGTGGAGATTCTGCATGGATTATCGAGGCTTAAATCGGGCCACAATACCGAATCGTTTTCCGATAACGATTATTGATGAGTTGCTAGATGAATTGAACGGCGCCACCATTTTCTCCAAATTAGACATGAAATCAGGTTATCACCAAATAAGGCTTAAGGCGGGAGATGAATACAAATCAGCCTTCAGGACTCATGAAGGACATTACGAATTCCTAGCAATACTGTTTGGGCTCACTAACGCCATCGACAACTTTCCAGTCCTTAATGAATAAATTGTTCAAGAGCATGTTGCGGAAGGGTGTGCTAGTCTTTTTTTATGATATCTTGGTTTACAGCAACAGTTTGGAAGAGCATTGCGAACATTTACGAAGGGTCCTTGAAATCTTAAAGGAGCAAAAGTTGTTTGCAAACCGGGAGAAGTGTGAATTCGGTCGAGCTGCGTTGGAGTACTTGGGACATATAATCAGCTCAAAAGGGGTTGCAGCTGACCCTGAGAAAATTCTTGCAATGCAGTCATGGCCCACACCTAAGAACCTTGAGGAATTAAGAGGGTTCTTAGGATTAACGGGATACTACCGAAAGTTTGTGGAGGGGTATGGGAAATTGGCGGAACCACTTACAAGACAGCTGAAAAAGGACAGTTTCAATTTGGATTCCGAGGCGAATTTGGCTTTTCGAAGGCTAAAGGATGCCATGACCAAGGTATCGATCTTAGCGCTGCCAGATTTTTCTCTTCCATTTGTGGTAGAAACTTATGCTTTGGGAGTAGGATTGGGGGCGTTGTTATCTCAACGGCAAAGACCAATTGCTTTTTTCAGCCAGGCTTTATCAGCAAAAGCACGACTGAAATCCATTTATGAGAGAGAACTTATGGGAGTAGTGTTAGCAGTCCAAAAATGGAGGCATTACCTCTTAGGGCGGCACTTTATAGTGTATACCGATCAAAAGAGTTAGAAATTTTTGTTAGAGCAACGGTTGGTGAGCATAGACCATCAGAGGTGGGTCACAAAGTTACTGGGTTATGATTTTGAAATCTAGTACAGACCTGGTCTTGAGAACAAGCTGCGGACGCGTTATCCCAACTCCCATTGGCAGCCGAATTGACCGTCATGGCTATCCCGAGGGTGTTGGATTTGGGTGAATTGCAAAGATAAATAGGAATCGACGAAAAGCTAGCAAACATTCTGGAATCCTTACTTAAGGATCCCCTGGCTATCGAAGGGTGGGCAGTGACTAATGGGTGCCTCTTGTACAAAGGAAGGCTGGTATTACCTTGCAATTCAAATTTAATTCCCAAGCTGCTTCAGGAATTCCATGGCAATAAGGTGGGTGGACATTTAGGGGTTTTAAAGACCTACAAACACTTAGCTGGGGAATTGTTTTGGTCTGGAATGAAAAAAGATGTCCAGAAATTCATAGAATCTCGCTCTGTCTACCAGCAAAACAAGTATCTAGCCCTTTCCCCAGCAGGGTTACTACAGCCATTACCGATTCCAGAGGCAATTTGGGAGGATATAACAATGGATTTCATTGAAGGGTTGCCAAAGTAACGAGGATGGGACACCATAATGGTAGTGGTGGATCACTTGAGCAAGTATGTCCATTTTATGACCTTGAAGCATCCTTTCACCGCGAAAACAATGGCAGAAGTACTCATTCATGGTGTATAGTCAGGCTTCATGGATTTCCTTGGTCTATAATCTCGGACAGGGATAAAGTCTTCCTCAGCTTATTTTGGACTGCGCTTTTCCAGCTATAGGGTACTCATCTCCGTAGAAGCACAGCATATCACCCACAAACCGATGGACAAACGGAGGTGGCAAACCGATGTTTGGAAACATATTTGCGGTGTTTTGCTAACGGCCATCCTCGCTCGTGGTCAGATTGGATTCCGTGGGCTGAATTTTGGTTTAACTCCTCCTTTCATACTTCCACCAAGACCACTCCTTTTAAAATTGTTTACGGGCAGGATCCCCCTCCTCTCATCGGCTATGGGACTCAGCACACTCCTTTGGCTGATTTGGATCAGCAGCGTGACGAGATGATTGATATGTTGAAATTCCAATTGGAAAAGGCTCAGTCCCGGATGAAGAAGACGGCAGATAGTGGGAGGAGAGAGGTACAGTTCCAAGAAGGGGATTTCGTGTATTTGAAGCTCCAACCATACAGCCAAAAGTCTCTGGCCAAGCGTGCTAATGAGAAGTTGTCACCTAGATTTTTTGGTCCCAATCCCATTCTACAAAAAATAGGAACCGTGGCCTACAAGCTCCAACTTCCAGCTGAGGCAAACATACATCCGATGTTCCATGTCTCTCAGTTACGAAAGGCAGTAGGTTCCACCACGGTTGTCCAACCTCTTCCCGCAATCTCAGCACTGATTTAGAATGGAGGGTGCAACCGAAAGCAGTGTTAGGGATCAGACCAACCAGCAATCCAACTTCACAGGTCCAGAAGTACTCATCCAATGGCAGGATCTTCCTTCTTTTGAAGCATCATGGGAACCATTTTGAGCTGATCAATTCTCAGTTTCTGGAATTCCACCTTGGGGACAAGGTGCTTTCATTGGCGGGGGGTATTGATAAACCTCCCATACGGTTCACATACCAAAGGCGTCAAAAAAAAGGGGATGTAAGAGGGGTTAGTGGGAATCTTAGTCGTTAGATTTGTTGAGTATAGATGATGTCATGGTTGTTAAGAGTAGGGGATCAATAAATATGAGTTAGTAGAGTCTAGAAGGTAGAGACGAAAGTAGGAAAGGTCTGAGTCCTTAGGAGAGAGGGCAGCTCTCGAATCTGCCTTATATTTTCATAGCATTACTGTTGCAATTCTTCCATTCAATATAAATAATCTTCCTATTCAAATTCAGTGTCATTTTCCTGTTAATTTGACATGCTAAAGCATCTGTAGTCAAATAATTTTGGGAATTACCTGGGATCTAACACATTTCAACTGAAAATAAGCTGTGACATTCTTTGATAGCAAAAGAGAACTTTATTAAGAGACAAACAAACAAGAGCAAAATAAAGGACAAGAAGTCCTCAATGGCCATATGCAAGCAAGAAATGCGTCACTATCATGCATAAAAATGGAACTTAATACAAATACATTTGATTTGTCATTATCAAATATATGTTGGAATTACTAAATACAACGAAATAAAGGATAATATTACTTGATTATTTTAAACTAATTACAACATAATAATGCGGAAACCAAAACATAAATCAAGAATACATATGAAATCTTTTGAGTTGCAAGACTAAGAGACATTTTATTAGAGGCTTGCGAACAAAATAAGGGAATAAAATTCACTTTTATTTCCTTTCAGTAGTCAAACATACATAATATGTGGCTTATTTTAAACAATAAGAATGATAATTTTGATCTGGAGAAACGGTAATACATATAGAGGAAAAGTTCTTTGGGAAGAAAACTTCATTTCCAATTCAACTTGATTAAAGGTTTGCTTACGCCTGCACTCATCAAAGATGTATCATGGAAGAACCAGAGCATTTATTAATCTTAAATCAACCACAATACTGCTAGAACTAAATAAGATTGCCATCAGGACTTCGGAAGTTCTAAATCCTGAATACAATTGATAGTGGCACATGATTTTATCAAGAAACACGGATGTATATAATAGCATCTTCCCAAGAAGAAAATAATTTTGATTGAGACAATGAGCTTTTTTAGACTAACAATAGAAAAGCTACGTCGGACAACAATGGATGGAGCTGTTCTGATAAAAAATGATGCCAGGAAAACATTTGTTCTACTAGAACAAGGTACAGTTATTTCTAAGCAAGCAATGAAGGCTTGTATATCACTCTTAGAGACTGCATCTTGAACTGGCAATTATTATTTCCCATCATTTCTTGCAGGTTTGGGGTGCAGTAAATTAGATATAAAGTTGTAGATCCCAAAATCTGTTGAGAGATCTTGCTGTTCCCAGCTAGTGAGGTGAACATTACCTAAATTTCAGAAAAGGCGAAAAAAGGGAATTTTTTTCCCTGTATCCCTTTGCCCTGATACTTACAGCTATATGTTTACTTTGTTTATCCATCCAGTGCATGAGCTGCCCCCTTATTCGTGCAACGGCTTCATACCAAAAGGTGAGTGCAGGTTCAACACCTGTAGGAGGCCACTGACCTTTTCCACCATCAGCAAGTGGAGCTAGAATGTTTGAAAGCATATTGCATAGAGCATGATGAAGTTCACTTTTCCGTTTATGAGGAGCGCGATTTAGGGGGTTGGCTTTAGCAACAAAGGAAGCTGATGCATTTAGACCGCCCTCTGTTTTGACCTGATAATCAACTTATTATTATACAAATGCTTCCACATTAGCTTAGCAAAAGAATTTAAACACACATACCCCAAGCTTAAGGTAGCGCAGCCCATTGATAATACTAAGTGTTTCACTTCGAGCAACACTGGTGTCAATTCGACGAGTGTTGAGTTCCATGAAGAAGCGCTCAGTCACAGAACTAAACCTTTTGAGTTGAAAGGAATCGTACACATAAATTAGTGAGACTAGTGCAAACCTTAACAAAAAGACTATTAAAATAACATTCTTAATCGTCAACACTGGATGGCAAGTGGCAGATCTAGGTAAGGAGCCAATAAAGAACTTCAGAAAGAGGAAATGAAGCATTTATTGGACATCTGAGTTTAAGTTATGTAAGCAGTTGTTTCCCCCTAGATTCATTGCATGTTGCACCCTTAAGATATCCATCATCAGTTGTAGTACATGGATCTCAAAGCAGTTACAAAAAACAACAAAAAAAGATTGGTGGATTTGATATAATCCAATGATTGTTGACATATTTCAGAAGAGACTTGTTCATGCATCAATGAAAAAGTTAGAACCAGCGGATTACCTATCACCCCAGCTATGAAACGTTATATTTGAATATTCGGCGGGGCAGTGCTAATTATCTGATTACCTGATCCGAGACAAGGCACCACAAAGTTGTGCAACTAGGTCCAAAAGAAGGCCCCTCAAATCTACCAATGAAGGATAATCAACTTGGCTAACAAGCCTGCAATTGATAAAAAATGAGTTTGTACGACAGTTACCGAGAGCGCATTGCAATGCAATCATGCTTTAAACTAAGTCCTTGTTTGAGTCTCATTTTTATATTAAAATGGATTTTGTAATAGTAATTTTTGGAGAATGTGTAGTTAAAAAGTAAAGAAGAGTTTTGAATTTACGTGCAAAATATTCTATTGGTAAAATATGTGGTTGAAAATGAGCATGGAAAAAATGAATTATTGAATAATGGGATCAAATAGAGGCTAAATGTATCGATTCAAATGGAAAGTGCGCATTTCTTTCTACATTATAATACAACCCCATTCTATATAAAAAGTACATACACGACACACAAGTCTTACTCATTAAACTCATCTCTGTATCAGAAATCAAGCTAAAATTGAAAAACACAGAATAGTAAGGCAACATTTCGGTATTCTTCTCTGAGTAACTTCATGGACAATGCTCAAGACAATTAAATAACTGAGGATTCTTTTTGGGCTGGAGTTTGTACTGAAGATATAGAGTTACTGGATAGCATATGCCAATTGTAATAATTTGGTCTTTTGTAAAGCGAATTTTTTTTTTTTTTTTTAATATACAGGTATTTTGTAAACAGATTACATGGTATAGAAACATCATCAATGAAATTTCATTGCTTACATCAGGACAATAAACACCATAGCTCATTCCAGTTTGATCCATTGGGATTTCAAGCATCTTCGTGAAATATAGATAATAATACTTCTTCATTCCACCAATTGCAACCAATATGCACAATCATATTAACCGTGGTATAATACTTTTACATTCTAAAGTAATTACATGAACTTTAAAAAATAAAAACTATTTGATGCAGTTTGTAATAGTTGGACTCATAACATGACAAATTGGCAATATAAAGATGTTTTGGGCCCAAGGAACATGAAATATGAATCCATGCCACAATTAACACACATGTTTGCACCTTAGTCAGAATCAAGACAGGAGCTAAAAGAAGGCTAACCAATATTGTAACAATTTCTAAATTTAGCTTGATCATTTTACCTGTCTGCATTAATAAGCCAGTCAAAGACAAAATTTTCAAGCCCAATCCAAAGTTTCTCTGCCATTGAAGAAGCACATTAAATATGAGGAAATTATGAGGTGTCAGGTGAAGGAAAAGAAAATAAAACTAAAAGAGAAAAGAGGTCGTCAAATAAAGGTTAGGAGTTTAGAGCATGAATAGACCTGTAAGTCCTCCTTGCGGGCAACACTCGACAAAGCGAATACATGCTGAGCAAAAGATACACTCTACTGCAAGCTGGAACAAATAATATCACCATTAAACATGTGTACAGGTAAACCAAGTTTCTGGATTAAAATGTCTCTTCTGAAAGGTACTACCTATTTTTGTGTAGTAGACCTAGCATTTCCATTTGTCTTGTGAGTCAACAAGACAAATTAGAACATAAGAAGCCATAAACAATTTGTTACCTTGAACCAAAAACAAAGTATAAATGGATTTTTAGGATCATTAGATTTACTAATAACACTTGGCTTTCAGCAGTCAGTCTGTGAAATATCTTATTCTTCTATTAATTTTAGTCACTTATGTTAAATTTGATTGTGTTTTCTTTACTCAACCAGAGAGAGAGAGAGAGAGAGGATTTCATATGGTCTCTTCTTTACATTTTCTTTTTATAAAGAGAGATCAATATGTTCCAATGTAATGAGGCAATGAAATTTCTACCAACTCGAATTTTATATGAAACTGCGTAATTAATTCATTATATTGGGAGAGGCAAACCTTTCTCTGGAATGTTGATGCATCGTTTGCACCTTTTGGTGATTCACTGCATAGCATCCCGAAATATAATTTAATTGAGAGATCATAATTTAGCTTCAAAAGAGAAGCAGAAATTGAGGTTTAAAAATAAATGAATGCTCGCTAAATAAATTGTTTCTTCTAGCTACATTGAGCCAATCATACTAAATGAGCATTAAAAGTACAGTAACAGAAGGCATCATTTTGACATTGTGGTGCAGAAGCGATATGAAATTCTTATAATAAGAATTATGTAATAAATAAAAACAATATTTGAAGAATCATGTCACGTATATATTGAATAATAATTGATTGGTGTTGAAAAGTGTACAATGCTCTTATATTTATAGACAAAATTATTCCCTACTTCTAATAGTATTAGAAAATTGAAACTACAATCCTAATCAAATAAAAGATGAAAAGTTCTATCATAACTATACAAAAAACTAAAAAGATAAACAAATTGAAAAGATAAACTTCTAGAAAAGATAAAATATAATTGTAGTAGGAATAGTAGGAAATTATTAATTGTAGTAGGAATGTACTACATCACAATGCCCAACAAAGGGATGTTATTACTTTCGCCTATGTTTGGCTCATGTTTATAAACTATTTATAAACACTCGAGCTACTTTTTATCGACACGTTTTGAGGGATCCACAAGTACTACTCCATTTATCCACTGCTCATTTCTATCTATTTTTAATCTAAATAATTTATAAACATGCTCTTAGTGTTTTCTACCACCAGTGCCATGTGGTTACTGTGAGATATACGACATAACCAAGACCCATTTTGGAATTGAATTACAGAGATTGATATATTATCGCCTGAAAAAATGAAATATGATTACATTAAAAAGGTCAAACCATCAATGTATTCAGAAGTTACTGTTTTTCACTGTTTGAGAATTATAAGAGGCCATAATGACTAGAAATTCCATAAGCATGAATACTGGCACCAGAGATACGAAACTAGAAAAACAATCATGGCTGGAAAAAATCCATCAATCAGGCCAGCCACAGCTTGAGCCCAGATAAACAGCAAAATAAATTGCAGGATGGACTGACTGTAGCACAAGTCAATTAGACTTCTAAACCACTGGTGCAGCAACTTTTCTTTTTGAGGAAGTACATCAAGAAAGAAATCAGCAGATATCAAGATATAAAGTAGTACTTATATGCATCGCTCCAGATATGCAATATATATGACGTCATTAAAGCTACCTAGAGTTTTTTCCTTTTTTTTTGTGTGTGTGTGGGGTGGGGGGGGG